GGGGCCTTGTGGGGTGGGGCGGGGCCTTGTGGGGTGGGGCGGGGCCTTGTGGGGTGGGGCGGGGCCTGCGGACCGGGGCGCTCCGGGCCCAGCCCCGCTCCCGGTGCCACTGTCGATGTCGGTCTCGGTGCCGGTGCCCAGCCCGGCCCGGCCGTCCCGTATGACCGCCCCTTCCCCGCAGTCGGGTTCGAGTTCTGGAAACAGCTCTGTGCCGAGCACGGCATCAGCCCCGAGGGCATTGTGGAGGAGTTCGCCACCGAGGGCACCGACCGCAAGGACGTCTTCTTCTACCAGGTACCGCCGACCCCGGGCCGTGGGGCGGACACATCACGTGGGGTGTAATGCCCTCGGCCACACGGGGCTCCGGGCTGTCCGTGCCTGCCCCAGCCCTCTCCGCAGCCCTCGCGGGTGCCGACCCCACTGGCTGGAGCGGTGGCTCAGCCCAGCCTTCCGCTCACAGCCAGTGACAGGCTCCCGCCTGCGCTCCCGGTGTGGCCGTGGAGCGCTGTGTGGGCGGAGCGGCAGCACGAGGCACTGCCACAGACGGTGCCTTATGTAAGCACCCAGAACCCCCCCCGCCCGTGCTGGGGGTGCTCCGGGACACAGGCTGCACAGAGCCAGCCTCCCTCCCTCCCTCCTCCCCCTCGCCAGGCCCGGCTGTGTTGTGCTGGGCTCGCCCGAGGCCAGGGGGTGGCTCATGCTCTCCCTTCCCGAGCTGCAGCAGCGCTGTGATTCTCCTGCTCCTGTTGCAGGCCGACGATGAGCACTACATCCCGCGGGCCGTGCTGCTGGACCTGGAGCCCCGCGTCATCCACTCCATTCTCAACTCCCCCTATGCCAACCTGTACAACCCAGAAAACATTTACCTGTCTGAGCACGGAGGGGGAGCTGGGAACAACTGGGCCAGTGGCTTCTCGCAGGTACCAGCTCTGGTGCTGCTGGGTGAGACGCAGGGCAGCCCAGCAGGCCTAGGGCTTTTTCATGACCCCCTCGTGCAGCTCAGTTCCAGTTTCTGAATAATACCTTGTCACTGGCAGGAACTGTGGCACCCCGGGCATGGGGTGCTGGGTCACACTGCCAGTCTGACTGAGCATCACAGCAGGCTTGAGCAGCTCTTCTCCATGTTCTATGGGAAAGGAACAAAACCAGGTCTGGTTTCTCTTGCAGGGAGAAAAGATCCACGAAGATATTTTTGACATAATAGACAGAGAGGCTGATGGGAGCGACAGTTTGGAAGTAAGTACAACGGGGATTTGGATCCAGTGGCCCTGCCTGGTGTTCTCCCAGCCAGGCTGCTCTTTGTAAGGTTGAGCTCAGCGCTCTGGTGTGCACAAGCTTGCTCAAAGTGCTTTTGGGGCTGAGCGCAAAAGACACAGAGGGGGGAACCAGGGACAGGAGGTTTGTTCATCACCACTCCACCTGTCAGCCTGCCCTGGAAATCCTCTCACTGTTTGCTCATGGGGCGTTTTTCTTTATACCGTCCATGTGAATCTGTTCCCTTTGCACAGACAGACAGGGCTGCTGGGTGTTCGTTTCAGGCTGTCACGTGGCAGCAGGGGAAGGGCAAATGTCAGCTAAAACAAATAGACAGAAGATTCAGGAGCCTTTTGTGGGAGTTGAGCAGGTGGAAGCTGCCCTGGAGTCAGGCAGTGGGAGTTTGATCTCAGTCACTCTAGAAGGAAGAAGGGGTGTGGAGGACCCAGGAAAGGGTTGAAAAAGTGCGCCTGCATTTTGTGTGACAGACTGGATCCTGGAGGTGGCATTGGAGCTATTCTGAAGCCTGTTCTGGGTGGGAGGGATCCTGCAGGTTCCCAAGCAGCTGTTACACATTGTGGAGTGTGCAGAGATGTGGATCCCACCTATGTGGGCACGAGTGGGCTGAGGAGCTGTGGTTGGAGTCCAGAGGAGCCGGAGCCAACTCCACTGTGTCTGTGCTCCCAGCTGCCATGGGGAGCTCTGGCCCTGGCCAGCAGGTCTCTGCTGGAGGTGTTGGGGGTGTCATGTTATCTGCCTGCACTGGGGTTGAGCTGCAGCTTCAGCACTGCCTTCTGGTTCCTTGCAGGGGTTTGTGCTTTGCCACTCCATCGCTGGTGGAACAGGCTCTGGGCTGGGCTCGTACCTCCTGGAGAGACTGAATGACAGGTGAGCACAGCCCTGTCCCCTTCCTGCACCACAGAGCCTGGCCCAGCCTGGGCACCCTGCCCAGAGCTGGAGAGCTGGAGAGCGCTGACTCAGAGCCACCACCCCCACCCAAACACTGTCTTGTGCAATCCCTGGCGAGCTGCCTGCAGAGGGACGGCTTCTGATATGCCTGGGGACTTCAGAGGCTCTGAAACTGTCCAAGCTCTGCCTTCCCTTGGCTGTTCTTATCAGGCAGCTGCCTGCGGACACCCTGACTGTGCAGGGGGAGGATGGGAGGCTCTGGCTGTGGGCTCTGAGCTGCTGTCCTGGCCTGTTCAAGCTTGCAGCCTCTTGAAAAGGCTTTGTGAGCAGCTGCTTAATCAGCCTGTGGATGGCTCAGTCTCCCTGTAGCTCCTCTGGCAGCCAGCTCCTGTGCTGCTGGGGTAGGCACTGCTGGGACACATTCTCTCCCTCCCTGGGAGCCAGTCTGGCTGCAGCTCTGGTGACTCACCCTGTCCTGAGCCCTGGAGACTAGGAAGGCAGCTTGTGGGAGGGAGGAGTGCTGGCTTGGCGGCATTAACCCTTGCGATGGCTGCACTTCTCACCAGGTATCCCAAGAAGCTGGTGGAGACCTACTCAGTGTTCCCAAACCAGGATGAGATGAGCGATGTTGTAGTCCAGCCGTACAACTCTCTGCTGACACTGAAGAGGCTGACTCAGAATGCTGACTGCGTGGTAAGAGGCCCGTGGTGCAGCAAGCCCTGGGGTGACAGCCCTGTCTCCACAGCCCAGAACCATGGCCCACCCTGGGGCCTGTGCTGCAGCAGCACCATGTGCCTGTGAGCCCTGGATGTAGCAACAAGTGTGCCCTGAACAGAAGGGCCGAGCAGATGTGGTGGTCCCAGGGACCCTCGTTGGCTCTGTA